TTTGTAGGTGGTGATCATGTCTACCCTTGCTCTTCTGTCTTCCAAGGGCGTGAGGTTCAGCTCCTTTAGCCTTTCCTCTTAGTTCATACCTCTCAGTTCCGGGACGAGCCTGGTGGCATACCGTTGAATCTTCTCTAACTTTGTCTTGTGTTTAACTAGGTATGAACTCCAGGCTGGAGCTGCATACTCCAGGATTGGTCTGACGGTCTTGATCTCAGACGTCAGTGTTGGCGATCTCAGACGTCAGTGTTGGCGTCTTGATCTCAGACGTCAGTGTTGGCGTCTTGATCTCAGACGTCAGTGTTGGCGTCTTGATCTCAGACGTCAGTGTTGGCGTCTTGATCTCAGACGTCAGTGTTGGCGTCTTGATCTCAGACGTCAGTGTTGGCGTCTTGATCTCAGACGTCAGTGTTGGCGATCTCAGACGTCAGTATTGGCGTCTTGATCTCAGACGTCAGTGTTGGCGATCTCAGACGTCAGTGTTGGCGATCTCAGACGTCAGTGTTGGCGATCTCAGACGTCAGTGTTGGCGATCTCAGACGTCAGTGTTGGCGATCTCAGACGTCAGTGTTGGCGTCTTGATCTCAGACGTCAGTGTTGGCGTCTTGATCTTAGACGTCAGTGTTGGCGTCTTGATCTCAGACGTCAGTGTTGGCGTCTTGATCTTAGACGTCAATGTTGGCGTCTTGATCTTAGACGTCAATGTTGGCGTCTTGATCTTAGACGTCAATGTTGGCGTCTTGATCTCAGACGTCAGTGTTGGCGTCTTGATCTTAGACGTCAATGTTGGCGTCTTGATCTTAGACGTCAGTGTTGGCTTCCTTGCGACACTGATCTTTCACTCGGTAAGTCAGACTGAGCACAAGCGGTTCGGGCCAACCTAAACAGGAAATCGCCCGCTACCAATATAAGCGTGACTGGGCCGGGAAATGGGTCCTTGTGGAGACATCTTTCCCATTTGTGAAGACGAGACCAGTTTTGATTTTAATTCTTACTTATATTTAGCTTTGGGTTTCTGTGTGTAGGTTCGTATTCCGGATATTTTTTTTCAGTAATTGGGACGATTTCAGAACTCAGTCGATTAAGGCAGTGTCTGGGATGCTCCCGGACGCAGGTTCGAATCCTCGTAACGGCCCTTGTGGATTTGTTCAACTGGGACGAGTTTATGTATTTCTCGATAGGAAGTTTGGAAATTCTGTACTCACCTAGTTGTGCTTGCCGGAGTTGAGCTTTGGCTCTTTGGGTCCCCCTCTCAACTGTCAATCAACTGGTGTACAGATTCCTGAGCCTATTGGGCTCTATCATATTTACACTTGAAACTGTGTATGGAGTCAGCCTCCACCACAACACTGCCTAATGCATTCCATCCGTTAACTACTCTGACACTGAACAAATTCTTCCTAATGTCTCTGTGGCTCATTTGGGTACTAAGGTTCCACCTGTGTCCCCTTGTTCGTGTTCCACCCGTGTTAAATACTTAGTCTTTGTCCACTCTGTCAATTCCCCTGAGAATTTTGTAAGTGGTGATCATGTCTACCCTTGCTCTTCTGTCTTCCTGGGACGTCAGGTTTATCTCCCGTACCTCATACCTCTTAGTTCTGGGACTAGTCTGACGGCATACCTCTGAATATTCTCTTTCTTTGTCTTGTGTTTAACTAGGTATGAATTCCAGGCTGGAGCTGCATACTCCATGATTGATCTGACATACGTGGTATACAAGGTCCTGAATGATTCCTTACACAAGTTTCTAAAGGCAGTTCTTATGTTAGCCAATTTAGCATATGCTGCTGATGATATCCTTTTGATGTGGGCCTCTGGGGACAAGTTCGGTGTGATATTAAATCCCAGATACTCTCTACTTGACTCTTGCAGGATTTCACCTCCCAGATGGTACCTTGTGTTCAGCCTTCTGCTCCCTTCACCTAGTTTCATCATTTACTTTACACTTGACTTAATTTTTTTCTTTTAAGTTAAACGTTTCATTTTCTAGATCATTCCTCTAATTTGTCTCTGTCTATCTTCATCTGTCTTGATTCTTTCTCATAATTTTTGCATCATCAGCAAACATCGAGAGGAATGAGTCTATTCCCTCTAGAAGATCATTTACATATGTCAGAAACAGGATGGGTCCAAGTACTGAGCCCTGTGGGACTCCGCTGGTGACATCTCGCCACTCTGATGTCTCCCCCCTCACCGTTACTCGTTGTTTCCTGTTGCTTAGGTACTCCCTTATTCAGTGGAGCATCTTACCTTTTACTCCTGCCTGTTGCTCCAACTTTTGTAACAGCCTTTTATGCAGTAGCTGTGTCAAAGGCTTTCTGACAGTCCAAGAAAATGCAGTCTGTGTACGCATTGACATTCAATACTCTGATGGCACCACTTTCCGGTTATTTAATTTTATAATAATTATAAAAATAAACCAATTAATTAATAATTATAAAATTAAAAAATTGTGTTGGGGACAGGAAGCCAGAGTGTATTCATACACGTTTGGCTTAAATCGAGGGCACCCCCCACCACCCAGGGAATGAATTACTGACCCCGCTGAGGATACAACCCCACAAGAAGCCGACTAACTCCTGGGGTACCTACTGGCTGCTTGGTGAACAGTGGCATTAGGTGAAAGGAAACGTGTCAAACCATTTTTGTCCCCAACCCGTCCTCGACTCGAGTCCATTCCATCCAGTAGTCGACCCCACAGACGCACTCATAAATTTTAACATGTTTTTCATTCAAAACAGGAATTTTTTCAAATATAAATTAATATATAATATATTGGCCTATTGTGCATATATAGGCATAGATTAGGTTAGGTGTTTAGGTTCTGTTGGCGATTATTTGTATTTGTAGTACGTGGGTGAAGCATTTATAGCGTTGTGGTTCGAACAAAATTCGTCAGTGAAGCACTTGTTCCGGATATGTTCGAACGTCAGCAGTTGTGAGTCGTGTGTAAACCGCTTTTCATTCATAAACAGGGGGTTTGGCAGGTGCATGGAATCACTTTTGGATCTTTGTTTGGAGGACGGGCTGATTTACAACGTTGTGGTTCGAACAAAATTGGTCAGTGAAGCACTTGTTCCGCAAGTGTTCGAACAAAATCAGTTGCGAGTCGTGTGTAACAGCCCGTCCTCCAAACAAAGATCCAAAAGTGATTCCATGCACCCGCCAAACCCCCTGTTTATGAATGAAAAGCGGTTTACACACGACTCACAACTGCTGACGTTCGAACATATCCGGAACAAGTGCTTCACTGAGGAATTTTGTTCGAACCACAACGCTGTAAATGCTTCACCCACGTACTACAAATACAAATAATCGCCAACAGAACCTAAACACCTGACCTAACCTAACCTATGCCTATTTATACACAATATGTTAATATATTATAATATTAATTTATACTGGAGAAAATTCCCGTTTTGAATGAACAGTATGTTAAAATTTATGAATGCGTCTGTGGGGTTGACCGCTGGATGTAATGGACTTGAGTCGAGGATGGGTTGCATTTGTAAACCGTTTTTCATTCATAAACGGAGTTTGGTTTGAGTCATTTACCTCACTGGTGACCTCCCGGTATATACCTGGTGCAAACTACCCCTCTCACCATTAACCTTTTCATCATAATTGTTCTTAAAAGTTGTGGATGGGATTGGCTGCAACATCATCTCCCTTCAATGCACTCCACTTGAGCAGGGAACGAGGACTTCCTTACAATCTAAACTATTGGGACCAACTAAAGAGCCTAAATCTGTACTCCCTTGAGCGCAGGCGGGAGATACACATAATAATTTACACGTGGAAAATAATTGAGAGGCTGGTCCCAAACCTGCACACAGAAATAACATCACACAAGACCAGAAGACATGGCAGGATGTGCAGAATACCCCCGTTGAAGAGCAGAGGTGCAACAGGTACTCTAAGAGAGAACTATCAACATCGGAGGCCCGAGACTGTTCAACACGCTCCCGATACACATAAGGGGCATAACTGGCAATCCCCTCACAGTGTTCAAGAGAGAACTGGATAAGCACCTCCAAAGGATACCTGATCAACCAGGCTGTGACTCATACGTCAGGCTGCGAGCAGCCGCGTCCAACAGCCTGGTTGATCAGTCCAGCAACCAGGAGGCCTGGTCGACGACCGGGCCGCGGGGACGCTAAGCCCCAGAAGCACCTCAAGGTATCTCTATGGCTCAACTACATGTCCATCTTCTCCTGATGTCCCTTGTCTACCTACCTCCAGTCTCAGTGTTCAACCTTTGTCAACTTTATTCCCCCTCAGGCTCATATATGTTCTCTCACCCTGTTCTCATGGCTGAGCCCTCTCAATTCTGGTACTAATCTAGTGGAAAACTCCCTCAGGATTTTTTTTGCGTGTGTGTTGACAAGGTGTGGGTTCCACACTGGTGCTACATAATGGTCTCACATATGGGCTAACTACCCATATGTTGTTGAAGTTATCATGCTCACATGAGCTTTGGGTATTAGTGTTGGCATTATGTCTACTGCCCAATCTTTTTCTCTTACTGTTTCTTGTAATTGACTTCCCCCTTATGGTATCAAGCAGTCCCTATGGCGCAGTGGTAAGACATTCACCGGCACTTTGGCTTCGATTCGTATCCTGGCCGGGAAGGAATGACTGGGCGCCAATCCATGACTGTAGCCTGTTCACACAGCAGTGAATGGGTACCTGGTCGTTAAACGATTTGGCAGGTCGTATTCCGGGGAAAATTAGGATTAAGGACTTGCCCAAAACGCTATGCGTGCTAGTGGCTGTTCAAGAATGTAACAATTCTTGTATAAATAAATAAAATAAATAAATAAAAGTAAAGTTAAATACGGGTCTCCTTTATCTCCTTTACCCCATTTCCATTGATTTGCACTTATCATATATATCAGAGGTGAAACATTTTGCCAACTAGGAATCCCTTATTGCTAAAATTCTTCCCAGCCACAGAGCTACTAACAACAGTACCCTATTATGAGTTAATAAAACAATACTTACTAAAAAAATCTTTATGGAAGTATTAAAATGATTAACAAAACGCATTACAAGAATGAAATCATCTTCATTTGCATTGAAACAGATTTTATGAAAATTTCAACCCTGTTAAAGCAGGCACTCTGTTACCCTTAATCCCAGTAAGCACAAGGACTCCCAAAGTGAAATAATCGAACATATACAATATAGCACCGACAAGCTCACGCAGTACCAGCAGAGGCCAGATATTATAAAAAGTATTTTTGTTTTTTACATCATAAAGATTTTGAAATAAAACTTAAAAAGTGTTGAATCTTGACAACCTGTTACGTGTTGAATATTGACAACCTGTCACGTGTTGAATCTTGACAACCTGTTACGTGTTGAATATTGACAACCTGTCACGTGTTGAATCTTGACAACCTGTCACTAGTCATCACTAACAACTTATTGTTAAAACACAATTACCATCTCCACTGTCACATTAGAAAATGTCAGTCATGAAAATAGACATTTATATAATAGTACTAAGTTTCTTGTTTTTTTACAAACTAAATAATGCATCACCTCTTCTAACACATTTGTCATCACTTCTATATGAGCACAATCAGTAGTGTGTTATGCAGTCTCAAAATACTCTACACTAGCTAGCACACTTTGACTAGGGTTATGGCAGTATACCCAGCTAAACTTACTACAGCTTACCAGTCCATTCATAATCTACAATTTAAAAGTTGTAAACAAATATTATGTACATTTATTATTTTGAGCAATATTTTGGCAAACAAATCTGTATTTTATAATGTCATAGTGGCACTGTACCTTTAACAAATTATTATTACAGTGTACAATATTGCCTACTGTATGATACATTCCAAATGTTCAATTATACTCTCAGTATTTGAAGAAAGCTCCTGAACCATGTAGGGACAAAGGTGGTCAAGTGTGAATATCCAGCAAGTCACTGTAGTTCAAAAGCACAGTGGTAAGGCATCTGAGTACAGGCTGGTCACGTGTCTTGTGAGATTAGCATATACCGGTATATGTGATATGTGATCAGCAAAACTTCCAGGACTTTATAAAACTTGACAGCATTTGGATAATGACAAAATTTCTCTCCAAGAAAGAATATTTCTTAAGAGAGAAAACAGGACAGCTAAACTGGCAGGCTGTGTTCAGAATGTTGTGGTGTTTGCACGAGACGTGTACTACACAGAGGCGGGATCAAAGAGCCAGAGCTCAACCCCCCACAAGCACAAATAGGCGAGTACAAACATCTCAACAGATAATTACCTCGTCTATATTCCAAGTATTCATCTTAAAACGATGAAAGTAACAAGATAGTGATTTTATCTGTGTCCTTCGACAACTTGCCCGAAAACGCTTTCCATAATAGTGGCTTCATTAGTACTGTATGTGTAACTCCTGTCTCTACAACTGTACATTACTCTTATGTTCTTTGTACACACATTCTTCTCAATAAAAATTATGATTGTGATAATTATAACTTTCACCCTCTAAGGGTTTTCATTATTCCACAACACTGCCCTATGTAGACTCTTCCCATAACAATATAACGGCTAAGTTTTGAAAGAAAATTTTCAATATTAGTTGAAAAATAATGCACGTTGGCTTTTTAATCACTTAAATGAAAGTCACAGCTTCATTACAAGTACAAGATTCAAGTAGGGAATGGCCAAGTGCTTGCAAGTTCGAAAAGAAGGAATTAGAAACTGGTAAGAAACATAGAAAAAAACAGTAATACATTGGAAGTTAAAGAAATTTAGCAAATTAAGTAATGACACTGTGTGCACAGGAACTAATAAAACCATTACTGCACAGAGGTCACAAGCTGCACACTTCATTATGCATCTAAGGATGAAATAAGACAACAGTACACCATTACTGTTGCAGTAATACCACTTAAACTAATTAATAAGCTTGCATGTATCCTACATACGGAGTAAAGTTTTGTGCCGACAACGATGGATCAACCAATGTGTGAGAGCTAGGGAAGCAACCAAAGGGTCTCCCTAAGAAATCAAGCAACCCGTCCTCGGACCAAGTCCATTCCATCCAGCGGTCGACCCCAGACGCATTCATAAATTTTAACATGCTGTTCATTCAAAAAAAGAATTTTCTCAAATATAAATTAATATTATAATATATATATAAGCATACTGTGCATATATAGGCATTGGTTAGGTTAGGTGTTCAGGTTCTGTTGGCAATTATTTGTATTTGTAGTACAATTGTTGTGATAATTGTAATAATTGTTGTATTTAATAAATATCAATCTTCCTTCTGCTTGGTCTTGAAGGAGGCCGGCCTCGGGTGAAAGAGGGCTGTGACAATCTCTGTCTGGAACCCGTTAGTGCGTGACTGGGACGTCCACCTCCCTAGGGTCATGCGGCCCAGGCTCTGCTTCAGGAGGCTGGGGTCGTTCTTACCCTTGATGGGGTGGTTCTTCTCCGGCCCCGACCACGGCGGTCTCCGGGTTTGGAGTCCCAGTGCCTTTTTTCACCAACTTCGAGGTCAACTCCGGAACTCACAGTTCCTGTGACGGCGCTGGAACCAATCGTATTGGCGTTTGCCTTTCCATTGGAGACTTTCGGTGCCTTGGAGAGGGGAGACCTGCTGCCCGAGTAACAGCTTCTCCTCCATATCAACCTACCCTGGCTTTGGGCCCCTGGAGAGGCCACTCCAGACCGACAACCAGAGCACAACACCATAGTTTCCCGAGACTGATGGATGCCTACTACTAGTACTTGGGTGAAGCACTTACAGCATTGTGGTTCGAACAAAAGTCGTCAGCGAAGCACTTGTTCAAGAAGTGTTCAAACGTCATCAGCTGAGAGTCGTGTGTAAACCTCTTTCATTCACAAACAGGGGTTTGACAGGTGCATGGAATGGACCTTGGCCTTTGTTTACAAGGACGGGCTGAAATCAAGCATCAAATGTAATGAACTTCCCATTTCTGTTGGGGCCTTGTAGCTCCCCATCCCTGCTCTGGTTCATTCTACCCTATGGGGGAAGGGAGGTTTGGAATTTTATATGGGAAGCTTCAGATTGATGTGGCAGGCTGGAAGAGACTTCAGCTGACCTAGACTGCCTTCTGGTGATAGACAGGTGCATCACAATCAGGGGCCAGATTCACGAAGCACTTACGCAAGCACTTACGAACCTGTCCATCTTTTCTCAATCTTTGGCAGCTTCGTTTACAATTATTAAACAGTTAATGAGCCCCGAAGCACCAGAAGGCTATTTATAACAATAACAACAGTTGATTGGCAAGTTTTCATGCTTGTAAACTGTTTAATAAATGTAACCAAAGCCGTCAAAGATTGAGGAAAGATGTACACGTTCGTAAGTACTTGCGTAACTGCTTTGTGAATCCGGGTCCAGGATATTTACCCCTTAGCAATGATCGTTTACCTTGTTTACCTAGAATGATCAATCTCCAAGCAATTACTTTATTTAGCTGTACCTCTCGTTTCTGATAGTTTTCCCAAAGTTTTGTTAGTTGATCTTGGATTTCCCGTTCTCTCATATCGTAGCGAGCCAGATTCTGGTCCTGGCTCCCGAGAGGTGACGGATGGGGTCTCGAAGACTTGGTGGTACGTACTATAGCTTATCTCAGGGAGCTACTGAAGTGTTCCTTCCAGAAATGAGCGTTGTATAAACATTTTAGCTTGTTACGCCTTACAGCAGATGGTTCTGTGCATAAACCACACATAATTTCCAATGTTTAGTGTGATTTTAATAAACATTATTAAATTTAATTATTTCTACAGCAATATAGATTAATCATTTGGAGAAAACAAATTACCATAAATAACAGCAGTGTGGAAATGTTTAGAACCTTTTGTAAACTCAGCATTGACTTGTACACCCGATTATCTACTGTCATTTTGTGCCTATACTCAAGAACATTAAATTCAAAACATTTTAATAACAAAATCAGTGTGCTAATCTATAAATACTTTTTTTGCAAATAAAAATAAATTACACATTGCAGAGTGAGGTTCTCAACTAGCTGGGTCACGAAAACCCCCCCCCCCCACACCCAGAAGTGTTAAAACACTTCCGCTGGCCTGGCAGGGCACCTAAATTGCACCGGAAGGTTGGCCGAGTATTCCTGGCGAGCTCACAACCCAATGTTAAACTCATTCACTCACAATGTTTATACTTAACAATAAGACATTGCACAAATGTTGGCGTGACGACGTTTGCGTCATCAGGAACTCTGGGCGTTTTGATTTTTTTACGCATTATGCGGCATCAGGGAGGGAAAGTGTTAATTTAATAGTAGGATGAAGGCTCATTGGCCTCGGGCTACAGTATGGAAGCTCAATTGTTGGGAAGTAAGAGTTGGCACCCAAATCCCCATTAATAATGGTTTCTTGGGTGTGCTCTCACTAGCTGCACTAAGTGGTCTGCTCAGTTTTCTACATCTCAATGTGGTCCTTTGATTAAAGAAGTTTCCCTATTTTTGTCATTCTTGCAATACTTTTACTGTCTTTTTTGGATTTCTTCTCTAGGTTTTTTTTTTTTTACTGGAGGACAATCCTCTCTCTCTTCACATAAACCTATTTCTCAAAACAAATCACCAACAAACAACTTTTACTTTGGTGACATCCAAGCCTATGTCAACTTCTTTAATGTGTTTTCACAGAGTATTCGTGAGAATCCTCAATGAAACCTTGAAAGCATAAGAAATATCTGAAGTAGACTATGTGGCAACCTGTCAAGGATAGAACGAATAGAACATAGACAAAACAAAATTGAATAGATAAAATTGAAGTTTTAATGCTGAAAGTTCATAATTGGAGTTCCAGTTGAGATACACTTTGCTACACAACACACTGAAACATGGCAATTTAGTTGTGGTCTTCAGAAAAGCTGGTCTCCTCTATTGAGAGCCCTCATGTGAGCACGCTAGGGGGAAGCAGCCAAGGGGTCCCACCAAGAGAGACCCATGTGAGCATGCTAGGGGCTCACATGGGACCTCCAAGAGGGACCCATATGAGCATGCTAGGGGCTCACATGGGACCACCAAGAGAGACCCATGTGAGCACGCTAGGGGCTCACATGGGACCTCCAACGGGGCTCACATGGGACCTCCAACGGGGTCCCACCAAGAAATCAAGCATTAAATGTAATGAATTATGTAATTCCCCCTTTACTATGTAATTATTTCTTAAATATATATATATTTTTTGAAAAACTGCACTTGATTCACCTTATTAAAATACAATTTTAATTAAAATGCCAGAGTCATACCTTTAATGAGAAACTTCTTAGGTATTAAAATGAGAGCAAGGCTTGTGTACATTTTAAAAGATTCATCAAACCCATAAATAATAATTACTGAACATTTATAAAAACTTCCAAGTCCCAAGATCCCTAAATAGTCTTTACCTCACAACTCCTAGTCAAAAAAATAACAGCTTCTTGTACCTTTTTGTGGATATTGATGCTTTCACATTGTATAGTAGATTTACAGAGTCTATGCATTAGCCTTGGAAGTGCTAAATACCCACGCATAAACACGAGATGCACTGGTCACTGGGTACCAGTACCACGTTGAGCTTCCGGCACAGTCATTATCACAGTCATGTTTACTGACACAGCTCTCATCAGCTTGCATGTGCAGTTTACCTCCCTGGTTATCAGTATCACCAGCATTTAATTTTGTGTCAGAGTGAAAGAGCCAACCAAGACCAATAACATACCAAGCTTGTGACATAAATGATTCCGAGCTAGAATTATCGTGCGGATTGATTGTGCCGTGATCACCACTGTTTCCCAAGTCTTCACTCTCACATGAGCTTTGCACATTACTAGTTCCCCACCAACCTGAAATACTGGGAACATACATCCACGAAGCCCACCAAGTCATGTCTTCCGGCGTATTTTCACGGGCTTCACAATATTCGGCGTTACTGTAAGCTCTCTCGCCCGAAGACGATTCTGTGCATGCCGGAAATTGCTGGACACGTGAAGCACATGCTGGAGGAGGACCATCTGGAGGTTTCAGATTTTCAGTAGTTTTACTCGGCTTTTGTTTTCTCTCGTCTGTTGATAACTGTATGTTTTGGTCACTCGTTGGTGAAGTGGAATTTGTTGTGTGACTCTCACTATGTCTCGAGTTATCCGGGTGTTGTGATGCTGTAGAAGACGAGTCTGAAGATGCATCGGCTGATGAATTCTCCTTATTTGTAACCTTTTCATGAATGTCCTCATGAACTTTCATTAAGCTTTTACCAGTCCGGATATCTTTGTTAGCCTGCAGAACATCTCTCATGGCTTGGAAAAGGACTTCAAGATATTTGAGTGTCTTTTCATCTGTCCCACAATGATCATAATGACCCTTTTGTGACAATTCCTCCATCTTCCTAATAGATCTTTCTTTTTTCTTTAAGGCATGTTCCTGAAATGACTTCATTTTATACACTAACTTTGCAATGACCGGGACCTTTTTTTCAAAATTATAATACAAATCTTCATTCATTTTCTCAATTTTCCTCAGTAATAGAGTCTTACTTTCCAAATCAGGTGCAACTACTTCCATTCCCTCTAACAAATCCACTGCAACATGTTTTCCGCCTACTTGTACATGAAGAACTCTATCGGACGAAGATGTATTTGGATTGTCCCGACATCCGTCACGCACTGAAACAGCACCGTCTCTAATAGCAGAAATATCACTTTCAGCAGCCTGGTTGTGGAGGATAGGCACAGACTCGTGTTTGTGGTCAGTACGCGTCACCGGTGTCATCCCAGCCAATTCTTCCGAGGGGATCTCCGAGTGTTCGCTATCGCAGACTTCTCGAGTACCGGGCAAACATTTTTCCCCATATTTCTCACTTGTTGGATTCACCGAGGATTCTTCAGCCTTATTTAGATCAAGGACCGACATCACATCCGAGACTTTCCGCACTAAACTGCTCTTTTGTGCTTCTGCTAGTTTACATTCTGGTGCATCATCGTTAGCTTCAAACTGTGCACCAGCATCAAGTGTACCAGCGACAGATACTTCCCTGTCTTTACTTTCAGGGAAAGTAGGTTCTGCCGGCTCTTCGTCAATCTGTCCTGCAATTTCTGTCGTAGGATACCTTAGCTCCTTTGGAAGACTTACGTAAACATCTTCTCCTTTTTCGTGTATTGCCTGAAGACTCAGAGCAACTCGATGAATCTTTCTTAAGAAGTTTGGAAACCCTGCAAGTGATATATATACCATTAAATGTTCAGATACTAATACAATAAAGGCATATATTTGGCAAGTAAAGCTTCCTCTTCCCCTCAAAAAAACAATAATAAAAGATTACAGGTGCAAACAAGACTATTATACTGTATTACAAAACCCTAAAACCATTTGAACTGCCTTATAAATATTATTAATTTGATTTTTAAGCTTATCCAAAATGCTGATACAATTTGTCCTTACATAAATTAAAATAGACTTTTTAATCAGTTTATGTTAGACATAGTAAGTGGTCAATAATTCATTAAAGATTAAACAAAGAAAGAAAAATGAATGACGAGGGGTGCCATTCCCAAGATAAAGACTCTTCAACTCCTCACACTTCATTAAAGATTAAACAAAGAAAGAAAAATGAATGACGAGGGGTGCCATTCCCAAGATAAAGACTCTTCAACTCCTCACACTTCATTAAAGATTAAACAAAGAAAGAAAAATGAATGACGAGGGTGCCATTCCCAAGATAAAGACTCTTCAACTCCTCACACTTCATTAAAGATTAAACAAAGAAAGAAAAATGAATGACGAGGGTGCCATTCCCAAGATAAAGACTCTTCAACTCCTCACACTTCATTAAAGATTAAACAAAGAAAGAAAAATGAATGACGAGGGGTGCCATTCCCAAGATAAAGACTCTTAGACTCCTTACACTGAGCCCAGAAATACATAGGCACAAACCCAACTGTTCAGGAGCTACATAACTTGTACATATGGGGGACTTGTACATAAAGGGGAGCCGGTCGGCTGAGCGGACAGCACACTGCACTTGTGATCCTGTGGTCCTGGGTTCGATCCCAGACGCCGGCGAGAAACAATGGGCAGAGTTTCTTTCACCCCTATGCCCCTGTTACCTAGCAGTAAAATAGGTACCTGGGTGTTAGTCAGCTGTCACGGGCTGCTTCCTGGGGGTGGAGGCCTGGTCGAGGACCGGGCCGCGGGGACACTAAAGCCCCGAAATCATCTCAAGATAACCTCAAGATAACCTGTGTGAATATAATGCCCCCTGTATTTTCTGTGTGAAAGCACACACATTCCTAGGCAAGGTACCTGAATCATGAGTGAAGTGGTATAGGCTTACATAACTAAACCACAGTTGGGTACATTGGTACTGAACTCGGGCATGCTGACCAGAAAACCATAAAATAAGCAATGATACCACCATACACAAATGAAGTGAATTATTTAACATTAACCCTTTAACTGCGCCGCCGCCATATATGACACCCCCCTGTGCGCAGGAAATAAATTATCTTGAAAAAATTCTTTTGTTTTTTTAAAGTGTCAAAAACCCTTCCCTCAGTATGGGTATGTCAAAAAATTTCTCAAAATTGTACTTACTTTGGCTGCTATGGGGCCCGTAAGTTGGCGCGTGACGTCATCATTACCCGTTTGCCCGTGACGTACGCTCCCGGGGCCAGTAGGGTGCCCGGGGCGGGGCGCGCGAGTTGCCGCGAATATATTTTTGTTCATTTTTTTGCGCACAGTTCCAAATACATTTTATTTGTTTTTATGTGCTAATCCTATGTATAATGAACACGTACACTATATTATGGCAGTAAAACATCCGTACTGTCCGAGGACACTTTGTTATGTGCATGACACTTCGTGTACACATATGTTGCACATATTTACCATGTATCAAGCTAATTTATGTATATATACAATCTATTTACAGACTATACACTCACACACTATATACATTCACCATTCAGAACACCACGAGTGTGAGCAGCCACACCCAGCCAGCCCTCCCTCACTCCTCCAACATTGTATTCGCCAACATTGCTCCTCCCATCATACAGTTATTCACACCAATGTTTCATGTTCATATATGTATATTGACAACACATGTACACACTATACACTGTCACACACTATATACATTTACCATCAACACATTCAGAACATCGCGAGTGTGAGCAGCAACACCCAGACAGCCCTCCCTCACTCCAACATCTTATTCACCAACATTGCTCCTCCCACCATACTGTTATTGTTTTTATTACACTATTTACACATGTTTTATTTACCAGAACTATGCAAGTAAGCCTGTATTGTGTCCAAACAGTACAGTGGCCACCATACACTGCATGACAAATCACACAACAGCCAGCAGACGACGCTATGATTACGACGTCACCTCTCTCACCAAAATAGCTCCACTCACTCCTGTTGCTGTTATTACACTATATACACACACACACACTGTATATACCCATGTACATGTGTGTTCCCCATAGCGAACCACAAAGCTAGTATGGTCAGCAAAACAAGAGTGGCTGCCACATAGTGAGGCTACCTCAATTTTCTCCCTTCCTCACCAAAATTCCTCCTTCCACAATACTACGCACAACGCTAATTATAACCACAATCCTGGTCACTAATTCCTGTAAATGAATAATTGACCACAAGTTTATTTTGAAAAGGAACCTAAGAAGTCATTTGAAGACTCCTAGATGGACGAAATAATGCTGTGGTGCTGTGGCTAGTGCTGTGAACATCGTGAACAGCATTGAATCACTGATATTTGAACATTGTACCCAGTCATTATCACACTCAGGCTCTTCCATATTACTATCATGGCTAAATAATACAAGTTATATATATATTTTAACATTATTAGGCGATGCTGTGGTCACACGCTGAACAGCAGTGCTGTGCGCTCATGCTGCAAGCGCCAGCCTTGGTTGCTCACTCACTACTGAGGCTCTCACACCCGGGAATGTGGACCATGATTTTTTTTTAAAGATGGCGTCTGTTTACAAGAGCCCTGAGGAAGCTGATGTGAACCCCATGTAGCCGTGGGAATTTTGAATGGAACGTGATAAATACAAATACCTGGAGGCACGTAGCGCACCCCAGACGTGGGCCTGCAGGCGCGTTGCGCAGTTAAAGGGTTAATATCAGTGCATAACACAAGGTAAGGTATTACCAGGAGAATGCGGTATGCCATTACAACTGTATAGCAGCATAATGTAAATTAACCTAACCCACAATACACATGAACCAGTGACCAACACAGTCAGTCGACACCCAAAAGATCCCCGCTTCGATTCCTGCTGCAGAACAACTCGCTCACACCTAGGGGACTTGGTAGCCTGGTGGATAGCGTGCAAGACTCGTAATTCTGTGGCGCGGGTTCGATTCCCGCACCAGGCAGAAACAAATGGGCAAAGTTTCTTTCACCCTGAATGCCCGTTACCTAGCAGTAAATAGGAATCTGGGAGTTAGTCAGCTGTCACGGGCTGCTTCCTGGGGTGTGTGTGTGGTGTGGGGGAAAAAAAAAAAGTAGTTAGTAGTTGATTGACAGTTGAGAGGCAGGCCGAAAGAGCAAAGCTCAAAACCCGCAAACACAACTAGGTGAATACACGCCTTCACCCTCCTCTCAGGAAAACCCGAAGCCTAAACATTTTTGTCTTAGAATTGACCACCTACCAAAATTCCACAAAATATCTCCCCTGTCTCCGTCATGAGAGACGGTATAACTCTCAGGCATATTCATGGACGTGAATACTTACCGGAGGCAGCTATAAAATTTGTCAAACTCTGCGGTAAACTGGTTCCAGGATTGTCAAAGTAGGTGAGGGTATATTCAATGCCAGGCTGTAAAAACAGATTCATTTAGCAAATTACCTTATTCTGATCATTTATATTGAATTGAATCATATCATCATTGCTCTGAATCCAACTTTCATTGCATTTGGAAGCATTTGAGCAAGCTAAACAAAATACATAAGTACATTACTACACACAGAAATCACAATAGCGTGATGCATCAAACGAACAAATCCACAAGGGTCACATAAAGTGTAAAATCTGTGTAAAATCCCCAAGTCGATAACGGCAGCGTCTGGAATGCTCCCGGACGTAGGTTTGAATCCTCGTCACGGCCCTTGTGGATTTGTTTATAAGTACATTACAGTACAGGTAAAGTAGGGTTAAGGCTAGATGACATCCATCCAATTCACTGTATCTTCCACACTTCACTTATTTATGATATTTCACTATTCATCCTCTTTATGTACATTATTACATAGCCTTGTTAAATGTATGTATTTGAAACACATAACACACTTAAATTTCATGTATCATAACTTTCTTAAATCTGCAACACCATTTATTCCAATCACACAGTAAGTTCATATCCATTTGTAATATTTTTATCTGACCCCTCTCTTAACCCCATTTAGTATAAGGCATTGTGAATTCTTATAAAGCCTTTAGTTCACTGTCTTCATTACCTCCTTATTCTACATTATATTTCTTGCTTAACTCCTTTTTCACCAACAGAACACAACCTCTGTTACTTTAATCATCATCTCGGGCACACAATCACTGCCTAATCTTTCAAACGTATTTCTGCATCACCATCACCCGTCACATCTTCATCTACCCTTAGAATGATGAACTCATTTTACAAAAGAACATAAGAATAAAGGTAACTGCAGAGGGCCTATTGGCCCCCATATGAGGCAGCGTCTATATTCTCAATTTTATCCTTAATTTAACCACACAAAATCTAAGCACTAACAATAAGCAATAGCATTATACCCAGGACACGCAGCGCGCACACACACTGGTGGCGGAGCAAAATATGGTTCCGTAAAATAAAGTCATACCTTGTGAATATCTTCGTGGGCTCTAATAACCATTGTTGACCAGTATTCATTAACACGGTGAATACCCGTCTCTTCTGGTATGTAGTCCGGGCTTATTGCTTCACTCATTATCACAACCTCTTTCTTTTCTTGGTTTACAGAGAAACGCCGTTTATATATATAATCACGATTGGCAAAGAAATGCTGCAAAAAGAAAAAGGTACGGCTAATATAAAGAGCAATAATGACAACAATAATATTTCACATATTAAAATGAACTTAAAACAGGATATAGCTTCATAACATGCTAAGGCTCACTGGAGCCTTAGCATGACGGAGCCGGTCGGCCGAGCGGACAGCACGCAGGACTTGTGATCCTGTGGTCCTGGGTTCGATCCCAGGCGCCGGCGAGAAACATTGGGCAGAGTTTCTTTCACCCTATGCCCCTGTTACCTAGCAGTAAATAGGTACCTGGGTGTTAGTCAGCTGTCACGGGCTGCTTCCTGGGGGTGGAGGCCTGGTCGAAGACCGGGCCGCGGGGACACTAAAGCCCCGAAATCATCTCAAGATAATCTCAAGATAAAGATGCATGCATACATACATGAATATAAAAACAGAAAACATACATATATAAATGTACGTTTATACCACTGTAACCATGTGGGTTATTTATAAAATAACCATTACTTTAGATACTAGAGTTTAACATCTCTGTGAGAATTACATGTACAGAATCCATTCTGTTGTCATTTTATAGCACGTCACTTCGTTTGAGTTCTACCATAAATATTCCAATAAACTTTAATAAAAGAATTTTAATCCACCGTGACCGTCGGTAACTTTCTAGCTAGACGGTAATGGGCTAAATAACCCTAAAGTGTCTTTACTGGGAGTACTCAAGTCTCCGGAACTAACTTTTCTTCAAGAAGCTGACAAGGTCACATAATTTGTGAGGGCCTAAACATCTAGTAAGTAATTAATACATTAATATATATATGAAACACAGTACAGTAATAGTAAGCTTTGTAACCAGTAATACATAAAATTTTAATATCTTTAACGGTAACTCTTCTTGAATTATTCTTGTTCAATTCAACAAGGAAAATGAATACTTGAGGTATTCAAATACTTACAGGAAATTTAACAAGCCAGTAGATAAGATCAGAATTGGAGTCTTGATCGGAATCCAAAACGCGTAACTGCAGCGCTGTGTCATCCCATTCAGATCTGAATTTTGTGTTGAGATGTACCTCCATGAAGGCACCGAGGCTCACATCATCATAGGTGCCATATACTGTGGTAAAATGTATTGTTATGGTCAGCAAACAGCTGGTAAGCAACTTTAAATACAATCTAAATATATGTTTTAATAATATCAAATGTAGTGTTGCTCTGTAAATAATAATGGGGTTTGAACATGGAATAATTCTTAAAAATTACCAAGATTCTGCTGGTATTAATTCCCCCCATCCCTACACACAATAGGTCACGTGTCATTGCATTAAGCAACCAGCGGCTAGAAAAGTTGTGTCTAAGAGCTAGAGCTCGATCCTGCTGCCACAAATAGGAGAGTACACACACACACACACACACACACACACACACACACACAAAACCAGGTATGATAGGGAAATGGGACAGGAGACATTGCTGTAAACAACCGATGCTCGAAAGGCGGGATCCAAGAGTCAATGCTCGATCCTGCAGACACAACTAGGCGAGTACAACTAGGTGAGTACACACGAACACACACACACATGTGCACACTAAAGGATGGTGAAATATTAAAGAAACTGTTCATGACTGTTTTGAGACCAAAATTGGAATATGAAGCAGTTGAATGGCTCCCATATCTCAAGAAGCACATCAATAAACTAGAAAAAATGCAAAGATATGCTACAAAATGGCTTCCAAAACTGAAAAATTAGAGTTACGAGAAATAACGTTACGAGAAGAAAATAATGATAGAGGCGTTAAATATGCCAAAACTAGAAAATACTCTTGAAGAAAAAGACAAACCAGCAATTCAACATCTACCACACGTTCTGATAAGCCACCGCCTAAAAGGACAGTTGTGCCAGTAAAGAGGTCCAGCACAGACACGAAACACCTCATCAGTGAGCACAAATTTCAAATTGCGTTCAGGAACTTGCACTCGGCAACATCGAGCTCGGAGGAATATGAGGAATCTATAACAACCCGCTCCAATATGGAGTGAGGGGGTGATGGATACTGGTTGCCTAGACAGTCTGCAGACGAGCAGGAAATCCAACCACAGAGAAAGCATCTTGGCAGAACACACTGACCCCCAACTTGAATAGCTCAGCATGGGAAGATGTATGCACCCACAGACAAGACCAATCTCTTACATAACCCAAGCACACCTTCAGCTTAAGCAGGCAATGAGTCACAATAACGTGGCTGAAGTATGTTGACCAGACCACACACTAGAAGGTGAAGGGACGACGACGTTTCGGTCCATCCTGGACCATTCTCAAGTCGATTCTTAATCCTTCAACTTAAATGTGGGCCATGACCACAAAGGTGGCAAAGCCAGGTGTGAGTGCCACAAAAGCACACACCTTACTACTGTATTACCACTCCCAACCAGCAGGTATCGTAATGCAGGAGGAAACCCATACTTTTGCTTGATGCTTTCTTGGACTTAGGTTGATCTCTGATCATCAAGCTCCGACTTCTTGTAGAGGGAATCAAAGTCTGGTCCTGGCTCTTGTTAAGCTTTAGTACATCCCAGATACCTGGCGCAATTTTCTAATGCTCGGGAGCCTCAGTGCAGTAGAACTGAGGGGGCTTCCCAAAATTACTTGTTTAATGGACTTGACAATCCTTTTCTATCATTTAAGATTATTTCTAATAAATTCATAAGGCTAGAATTAATTACCTTTGTATGCATACAGGTGCTTATGAACGCGATGCCTTTGGCGCCATACTATGTGATCTTCCCGCTCGATAAACGGCTCCCATGAATCATACACACGACACCTGTCTGTGTAACCCAAACTCCCAGTGCAGGTACAGTAGTCTACATTGGCCATCTGAAAGCAAACATACAATATCGAGAAAACATTAATACCTGTATTTTTAAGGTAGGATATAGGCCTCGGTCAAGTACTGGAAAGGCTAGGTTAATCAACAATGTGATTCAGAAAGCTTGACAAACTTGCTCTCTTAAGTTGAATACTCAAAGAGCAAATGTTTATTTATCTACATCTTACCTTGCTATCAGTGAAGTATAGAAAAAAGGTGATTGGGTTGAAGTAACCCCAGGTTACTTCAACCCAATCACCTCACATATTCTTTATTGATTATGAAATTTTTAAGAGTTTTACCCTTCACCTGCAAAGATACAAGCAAGTATCTCACTGCTGGGAGTAAATTGAACCTTCCCAAAAAAGATTATGATTTTAAATATTGATTAAAGATCTACCCAAAACACGAAAAACTCACACGAAAGCCAAGGCAAAATAAAACAAGCAACTGCTTGAAGGAAAGAAATGAGCCCTAAAGCAAACTTGGTAAATGACTGTTGTCAAAGGCAAGCAACCCTAATATTGATGTATTAATATAGAAAGGAACAAGACTTTTTGGGAATTTTATTATGCACAGCGGAAAACTGACCCAATTTAGCGTGCATAACCTGAGGGTTCAAGATTCCCAAGTGTCTTTGTGTGATTTAAAACAGGTGGAGCTATCCTGGCTGCAGGAACAGGAAGCCACTGATGCAGCTCTCCCAGAAAACACAATTGTGAAACAAGAAGAGGCAAAAATAAAGCAATTGCCCTCAAAGAAGAGGGACCAGATTCACGAAGCAGTTACGCAAGTACTTACGAACGTGTACATCTTTCCTCAATCTTTGACAGAGTTGGTTACATTAAATGCTTTACAAGCATGAAAACTTCCCGATCAACCGTTGTTATTGTTATAAACAGCTTCCTGGTGCTTCAGAGCTCATTAACTGTTTAATAATTGTAAACGAAGCCGCCAAAGATTGTGGAAAGATGTTCACATTTGTAAATATTTGCGTAACTGCTTCGTGAATCTGGCCCCAGGTGTTCCAGGTAACGGTAACACCATTCTTGCCTTAGAGCCCATTTCTTCCATTTAAGCAGTTACTTGTTTTGTTTCACCGAATCTTACCGATGGGTTTTTCTCAGCTGTTTGTGGGTCTGTGATTACTAACCTCTCCCCACCTCACAGAGCATGTTCAATTCATGACCTGGCTCCCAGTAGGTGAGAATAGGTCTCATAGGTCTGCTGGTACAATTCCAAAATGAGACTATGCCAGTGTGTAAGCTGGTTGATACCTGGTTGATGGGGTTCTGAGAGTTCTATTCCCCAAGCCCGGCCCGGGGCCAGACTTGACTTGTGAGAGTTTGGTCCACCAGGCTGTTACTTGGAGCGGCCTGCATGCCCACATACCCACCACAGCCCGATTGGTCCGGCACTCCTTGAAGGAAAGAATCTAGTTTCCTCTTGAAGATGTCCACGGTTGTTCCTGTAATATTTCTGATGCTCCGTGGTAGGACGTTGAACAACCGCGGACCTCTGATGTTTATACAGTGTTCTCCGATTGTGCCTATGGCACCTCTGCTCTTCACTGGTTCTATTCTGCATTTTCTTCCATGTTGTTCACTCCAGTACATTGTTATATTACTGTGCAGATTTGAAGCTCTGAAAAGCTCCTGAGGGGGGCTCTCCCCCCAAAAATAAGATAAACCCATAAGGTATCCCTAACCAGAATACCAAATTATTTTTACAATAGTACAAAAATACATTACCTGTTGGTCAATCACTTGTCTCTTTCCACACATCTCACATTCCACAGTAGCCTTGCAGAGGTTCTCCACACTATCAAGATCATTAACAGCCCTGAAATAACAAGACTTCGTATAAGGCAATGTGGAATATACCTATGTGCACGATTCTAACAAGATGTCTAAACAACACTAAAAGAAATGCTCAAGAGCATAAATACCACTATTAAAACACATTACCTAAAAATTCACTGAGCATCATGATAATTTGAGGAAACTGAATATATAATGGATTCTGAAGCCCTTTCTGAACTCTGCCTCGGTAGCTTCGTAGCTTATGCACTGACTGTTCACAGTTAGACAAGACAATGTCAAGTATCCGTTAGATCGTCATTGTCTATTGGGGAAAAAGGGCGCATGATGTTAAGGACTTAAGAACTAGCTACAGAGCCCGATAGGCTCAGGAATCTGTACACCTGTTGATTGACGGTTGAGAGGCGGGACCAAAGAGCCAGAGCTCAACCCCCGCAAACACAACTAGGTGAGAACTAGGTGAGTACTCGAGTCTCCTTTTATTCCGAGCCATCATAAACGAATCCGAGGTCCTGTGGTTCATCACCTCCTCGGGAAAGGAGAGAGGAATGACCATCGTGAGCACAGTTTGGCTCTCCAAGACCTGGAAGGAAGTTGGTAGTTTGTTTCCATGCACTCAGTCCGATTGATACCCGACTCGATGTGTAGTCATAGGATGGTGAAGCGACCGCAAGGACATTGGAAGGAACCATAATGACAAAATAATGTGGGTTGGTCACTGCACTGGTCTGGTTGTGTGTAGAAATTATATTGAGTCTTGTTGTTCATGCATTAACAGGCACGCTAAAAAAAAAAAAAAAGATGCTGTTGAAAAGTGCTAACTGGGTCCCAACGGATAGACCAAGAAGGAACCACTGGATATAGGGGAAGCCACTCGTTAAGTATTACAAACACCAAAATAAGCATAGATAGCTGTTAAGGGTGTGAGTAGAATACCCTAAAATGAGCACACAAACACCCTGTGTGACCCTCATCAGGAAAACACAACTGTCCCAAAGCTGTGCAGAGGAGTCCAAGGCCCTTGTACAGTGGTACCTCGGTTTACGAATGCCGCTATTTACGAACTTTTTGAGTTACGAGCCCGATTTGTTCGGAAAATTTGAATCGGGTAACGAACTTTACCTCGGGATACGAGTTTGTTGATACGTGTACCGCCGACCTAGCACGTGGTGGCACGGCGATCGCGCCTCAGTTTACCAGTGCCTCGCGCCCAGTGACTATCCCGCCTGAATTCTTCGCAAGGATTTACAGATTTTTCGGATTTTTGCCTATTTGAGCATAAAAGTTGTTATTATATATCTCGCCATGGGTCCCAAGAAAGCCAGTGGTAAGGTTCAAGGCAAGAAATCACATGTGAGAATGCCCATAGAGGAAAAACAAGAGATTATTCGTAAACATGAAAATCGCACACGTGTTGTTGAACTAGCTAGGCAGTACAACAAATCTTCAGGGGAAGAGGAGGCAGTAGAGGATTAATGGTTCCTCATTAATTAAGAAAATGTGTGCAGTATGGGAAGAACTGCAAAGTTTTGCTGAAAAGAATCACCCAGATAAAGCTTTAGCAGGCCGTGGCATTGATCTTATTAATGACAATGTGATGTCTCACTACAGACAAGTGTTACAAAGAAGGGAAAAACAATCATGAAAAAAATGAGAAAATCATGCAGCGAGCCACAAGCAGGTGCTAGTGGTATGCAGGCAAAACGTGCCAGAGTGTGCACCCCAGAGAAGTCCTCACTCCCTGGTGTTATAATGGAAAGGAACTCCCCTCCCAAACAGTAACACCTCTCCTCCCTCCCCCCCACTCACTGTCTTCCATATGCCAATAGGAGTTATAAGTAAAGGTTAATAATAACTTGTACATACTTTTGTAGTGAAGATTTGAGTGAATTAGGTAAAAAAAATTTACTTTGAAGTTAATTTTTTGGGGAGTTAGGAACGGATTAATTAATTTCCCATTATTTCTTGTGGGGAAATTCGCTTGGTTTTACGAATTTTCGGGTTACGAACCGTCTCCAGGAATGGATTAAATTCGTAAACCAAGATACCCCTGTACTGTTAAGGGTGAGGCTTCTTCCTCAGGAATATGGTCTCCCAGAGACAGCTACCTGAACCCACCAGAGAAGATAACCCAGGGTGGGCAGAGGTAACATCAACGAATACCTAGAAATTGTCACTAGGCATTACCAGTTTGAGACGAACAGTTAATCGGAGTTCACAGAAGCGAGGCATAAATATACCTGCACTGTGAAGTAAATACTAAAATACAAAAGAAGTGTGAAAGTACACACAGAGATCACACTAACGTGATGCATCAAATGAATCACTTTATCAAAAGACTAAGGCAGTGTCTGGGATGCTTCAGGACGCAGGTTCGAATCCTCGTCACGGCCCTTGTGGATTTGTTCAAGTGTGAAAGTGAATGGCCCCTGCTCAACAAAAGCATGTGAAAAGGATGGCCAACACTTATCTGAATAACCAGGACTCAAAGACTGCTTGGCAGAAATGTAGAGCGTAATTGTGGCATCACGATGTCTCATACCAGGCAAAATGAAGAACAGTCAAGGCCAGTGGCTCAAGGGCCTCGGCACAGTCACCTAATGGTGCGTAGGTGGAGCTAATGAATGAACCGCTTCACAACCAGGTGGTTTGCCAATTTCAGTGTCTCATGCCTCATTTTATATTCATATTACCTTGCTGATTGTTAATTTTGTCTTGCCCACCTATCTGGTGGGCTTTTCTCAATTAGAGTGATCTAGAATCCTCTGCCCCTAGCACCTATGTAGAGGGAGCTAGGTTTTGGCCTCTGGTCTCCAGTAGAATTATAATCACTGGCATGAACCTGGCATGGATTGAGTTGGGTGGAGCTATCCAGGTAGCTAGCAACAATAAGCCGCCTTAGAATCTCTTCCTGATAAAGGCACCTTGGTTACCTTGAGGTGCTTCCGGGGCTTAGTGTCCCCGCGGCCCGGTCGTCGACCAGGCCTCCTGGTTGCATGGGGACATTTCATTACAGATACAAAAAAAACAGTAACACCACCATCAAGTGAAATGTAAAGTAACTGAACAACAGCACCTCTACTCAACAAGCTTCGTTTTGGCAACAAAGTTACGAAACACAACCCTGGACGTATGATCCAAGACGCATCACTTCAAAGGAATAACCCAAAAGCTGCAGGGAAGATAACTCTGGTGGTTGGCAGTCTTAGCTAGTGGTACCTGGGAAGGAAACCCTGTAACAAATGCAGAAATAGCATTTGCAATTCAACAATTCAATAGTTAGCACTACAGTATTGTGTTTTCAGAATTGGGTAATTAATTCAATTGAAAACAAAAACAAAAGTTCAAAAGGGTTGCTGTGTTTTGTGACTACCTTTCACTGTTGTGAGAGGTTTGCCTTTGTATCGAGTTGATCTTTGATCATCCCATGCTCCCAGCCCCTTTGAGGAGACGAGACAGAATCAATGGAATAAAGTTGTTGCCAGTGGACAGAAATAGTGTAGCCGTGTGAGATTAAAGTGTGAATGTGGTCCTGCAATGTCACTCTCTTAAGCTGAGGGAAGCTGGTGAGGGAACCTGCCCACAAAACACGGAGGAAGCTGGCAATGCTTTATCTCATACAGACATGACATTAGTGATGGAATATGTAGTGTGAATATCTATAATCATCCATAATAGCCATTCCTTACATGGAGATGGAATGAGAAAATAGTTTTACAAATTAAAAATTACAGTAAATCCAAAATAAACACGTTTAAGAAAATGCAAGTTTTTTACAAATAGACTAACAAGAGATAGTAAAAAAAAAAAAACTACCTGCATATTTAAATTCATATTGCCGATTTATTACCTTTGCAAACTTTCATTCGATATTTTTTCCTTACTCCAATTAAAGTTTGTGAAGCAGACTGCAGAGAGAAGCATGTGACGGCCCCGAGACAGAAGTATGCGTCTAAAATTTGCAAGCATAGTCCGGGCAGCCTGGTGAAAAATAAATATATTAATATTAATGCAGCAACAAGGAGTTAAAGCACACAAGTCACATCACAGAGTAACGAAATACAAAGACAACAGAAAAGGTGAATTACAAAAAAATTACAGTATCAAGACCTTAGCAGGGACATACTGCAACCAGGATATAAACAAACAAAAACACACACAGAGCTATCTTGAGATTAGTGTCCCCGCAGCCCGGTCCTCGACCAGGCTTCCACCTCCAGGAAGCAGCCCGTGACAGCTGACTAACACCCAGGTACCTATTTTACTGCTAGGTAACAGGGGCATAGGGTGAAAGAAACTCTGCCCATTGTTTCTCGCCGGCGCCCGGGATCGAACCCGGGACCACAGGATCACAAGTCCAGTGTGCTGTCCGCTCGACCGACTGGCTCCCGCTAGCAGAGGATTTGAGACAAAGAAACAAGAATTGTAAACTTAACTGTGCTAACTGGAAAGTTTTCTAAAAACTAAATTTTAGTCATTAATAAAAAACATAACCACAGCTTAATTCTTTGACTGCAGAGTTACTTCTCACCTGCATCAAAGATAAATGTTAACTTGGGGCTACAAACTTTTGGTGATTTCCTCATTTATGGGAATGTCCCCACAGGCACAGTCATATGGTCTTACAAGGTTATAAACCCATGGAACCACCAACCTCCCAAAGCTATAAATGCCAAGATACAGTTGAATTTTAGAATTCAGCTGCAAAAATCCTCAGGGCAAATGAAGGGGACCTTTGACAAGCCGTCGGCTTTCTGTTCGCATCGAGGCCACTAGAATATTAGTGGCCTTCAGGTAAATTTAGTAGCTCCTCAATGCTACCAGCTGGCAATGATCAAGCCTGAGGGATCACACCAGGCCTCTGAAGCCCCACGAGTACTGACCAAGCCCTAGGGATCACACCAGGCCTCTGAAGCCCCACGAGTACTGACCAAGCCTTAAGGATCACACCAGGCCTCTTTAGCTCCACGAGTTCCTACTGGGTATCAGGACTAGTATTTCACCCCCTCCCCACCCTCAAAGAGATAAAAGGGAGCCTGGGAGTTCGCAATCACCACAGATACTAGCCTAAAGCCTAACAGAAAAGGCCAAAGCACTCCAAAACAAGCAACTGTTTGAAGAAGATTCAACCCTGATATAAACTATGCAAACCATCATTAAGGCAGGAAAATTGCTGTAATATACCCACCTGCCAGGTGACCTGGAGTCTCAACCAGCCAGCTACCCCAGTCACGAGCCTTGGGGATGACCTGGGGCACATCACTCTGCATGGCCCCCATGTTTCCTTTCATAACTGCTATCACTGTCGAACCCTGGCATCCCTTTGTGTTTTTCTCTTTGTTCACGTTTCTTCTCTCAGTGTGGCCAGCTTCCACTATTAGGATGAATCCTAGTAGAATGTAACAAAACTCTTTTCTAGTAGTAGGTCACTCAATAGTTCCCCATTCCCAAGACAATCAAACTGAAACTTGGCCCAAACAGTATGAAGAACTTGGACAAATGCTGCATAAAGTGACGAGGACACATCCCCTCTTTTCCCCCCAACTGCCAGAGAGGGGCTCTGCCGAGGCCAAATGAGACGAGGCAACAGTAAGCAACAACCATTAAAACAAGAACAGCCAGGACACGAGGACAACTGATGAGAACAGCCTCAATAGTAAAGAAGTGCATAGAAGAAAGGGGGGATTGCTTTGAAACCCAAATTTATGAAGTTGAGTGTAGTAAGGCAAATACGGTATTGTACAGAGAGATACTTCAGCCGAGGCAACAGAAGAAAGGCTTTCCAAGGAAAATATAGATGAGAAACAAAGAGGCTACAGAGATGGCCAGCAACCAACATCATGGAAAGGACAAGTAATGATTATCCACAGGACTTGTTCTATATTATATATGGGGAACAGAATGTAAAGTTATGTTTATTCAGAGCAATGTCAGTTCCCAGAGGCTCAACATGTCTCACTTTCACCTACAATTAGCCAGATACTAAAAATAAAATCATTAAAATACATGGCACGTCTCACCTCTTCTCCCCACATGCGTGAATATACAGTGTAAAGTTGCAAACCACGCCTGAACTTTTGTGCTGTGTGGACCTCGCATTGCCGAACAATTATGCGAAGAAGACAAAGGGTGACTTCTTTTAGCCTCTCGAGTGCTTGTAACTGTCGGCCCTGGCCAACCAGAATCACAAGCAAACTCCAGTTGATCCTTCCATTGCCTGAAAATATTAAATATTAAAAGCATTTCAGCTTTTGTAAACTTGGAGTAAAATTCTCATGTATCCAGACTGTTGATGGCTTCCAAGTGGGCAGTTTAAATGATTGATTGTTGCTGCCAGACGCGACTACAGTAGTTCATGCTTCCCATACTCGTCCTGTGAGCAGTAGCACAAATAAGGATTATAGAGGGCACAAAATATCTTAATCAGAACTCGGTGGATAAATTTTGTATTGATAATTACATCTAACGTGCACATCTTGGAATTATAATGACACCAGTTTAAAATATCTTTATTTTCTGTAATGTTCTACAAAAATGACACAAAAAATCTCCAAAACTACATATATCCCACATGCAGGCGATGAGTCACAATAACGTGGCTGAAGTATGTTGACCAGACAACACACTAGAAGGTGAAGGGACGACGACGTTGTTTCGGTCCGTCCTGGACCATTCTCAAGTCGATTCGACTCGAGACTTGAGAATGGCCCAGGACGGACCGAAACGTCATCGTCCCTTCAACTTCTAGTGTGTGGTCTGGTCTACATATATCCCACAATTACATTGTTAATAGGTAAGACAGTCACAAATGAACTTTGTGATCAATACACGAGGCAAAGATTTTCAGCATCCAGGTGCATATACAGTATCTTCAGAATACAGAAAAAAATGTACTGACCATCTGAATCAAGAAGTTTTATGAAGGATTTTGGACTTTCTTTCGTCGAGGCAGATGTATGATACAAAAAAAAGCTTATGCAGAGTTACAGGAGTGAAAGTGGAGAGAGAGACACACGAGACATAAGAATGTAGTACAGTCAATGACACAGTGAGTCAGTGCTCAAGTGGCAGACACAGTGAGCCAGTGCTCAAGTGGCAGACACAGTGAGCCAGTGCTCAAGTGGCAGACACAGTGAGCCAGTGCTCAAGCGGTAGACACAGTGAGCCAGTGCTCAAGCGGTAGACACAGTGAGCCAGTGCTCAAGTGGCAGACACAGTGAGCCAGTGCTCAAGTGGCAGACACAGTGAGCCAGTGCTCAAGTGGCAGACACAGTGAGCCAGTGCTCAAGTGGTAGACACAGTGAGCCAGTGCTCAAGTGGCAGACACAGTGAGCCAGTGCTCAAGTGGCAGACACAGTGAACCAGTGCTCAAGTGGCAGACACAGTGAGCCAGTGCTCAAGTGGCAGACACAGTGAGCCAGTGCTCAAGTGGCAGACACAGTGAGCCAGTGCTCAAGTGGCAGACACAGTGAGCCAGTGCTCAAGTGGCAGACACATACGAGTCAGTGCTCAAGTGGCAGACACATAGAAACCAATTTACAGCAAATGTTAACTTACATTTTGATCTGGACTGAAGGTGCGTCGGGCCTCGGGTTGGCGGCCTGGGCACTAAACTTGGCCTGGGGGCCACAGGTCGCACCACCCCACCCCCCACACGCCTGCCACAGGCCAGTGCCACCCTCCTGTAGCAGGCTGGCACCAGGCACCCACCGCCGGTGCCAGGGAACATGCTGGCGCCCGAACCACTCTCAAACCTCACTTAAAACTCCTACTAAATGCCCAAATTTATCCTCTCGCGACATCGAGAAGCACTTGAGTGTTGTGGCTCATGTCACGTCGCGTGGCGGGTAAGTGTGTCGAGCAGCGTGAGTGTGAGTGTGAGTGTGTGTGAGGAGAGGGACTACAAGACGACATACACACTCCACTATCAACACACAACACCCGCGTCCCAATCCCCTCACCGCGACTTCCACACATCCCATAAACTCATAATTAACTACAATTTCGTTTCTCCTTTAAATAAATAGCATTGTTGTATATAATTATCTCTCATATATCGATTTCAAAATATATATGAGTGTGGGATAACATGATAACGACTCTGAAATAGAGTATGTAGATGCAATGTACCCGAACTCTGTAACCATTAAGTGAAGGTGGACAAGCGCTCATGTTGTCTATTTATGCTTTACTATCTCTGTTTGACTAATTTACGTATTATATATATCAAATCATGTTAATTGTTCATTAGTAATTTTGATAAGCATATCTGTAACAATGTGTACTCATTACAGTTGGAATTCACGTAAATCTCATTCCCACAGCAACAACTACATCTATATATACTGAATTAATTATTAATAATATTGCATGTATGCCAAGTTACAGAGGACTTGGTTACATAAATTTCATTGCTTGTTCGCATTTGTGTTGCTCACGTGGCCCCACAAAGTGAGATGAAATATCTATGCCCCAGTTGACCACGGAGTGCTGTCGGATCTTGGATAAATAGTCTCACGACTACCAAGATTTACCCAAATATCTCCAGTTTGCTAACTGTAGGTAGTAACTAAGTGATTGTAACCTATAACCTCTGTTATCCTTTCCATTACCGCCCACAAGATGGGTATGGGGTGCATAATAAATGAACTAAATTAACTACTACCAAGATTTTTCGAACAGTTGTGTGGTCAAGTGGGTAAGGTGCCAGGTACACCAAAGTGCATATTGCTCCTGGCTGTCTGGGTTCGAATCCTTCTGGGGTGTGAAGTTTTCAGTTGCATATCGGCTTGGGGACCATTCAAGCTTGTTCGTATATCGGCTCGTTCTGTATTAGTATTATTAATAGTGATGCGACATATATCGGACATAATGAAGAGCCTAGCCCGTACGATATGGTATTTACGGCTTCGGCGGGTAGGCGGTTCCAGCGGTTTTTACCATGTGGGTGTCGAAACAAAGGTTAAAATAAAACGGTATACAGCAAAAAAAAATCCCTCAGAGATATAGAGGCATTGAAAGTAGTAATTTGCGGATACAATTACAAGACCGCGAGTTATATTTCATTCATCTATACATCTCTGATAACTCCTTTGATTTAAGATACTTGTCTGATTCCTTCTTTTCTGAAGATACGCTTGTGGTAGGGGATTTTAATGAGTTTAGTGAGAGAGGATTAAGGGGGTCTTGTTGGCCATATTAAGTCTTGGTATGATACTTATAAGCCAGTTTCGGCAGAAGCATTTTATGAAGATCTAATTAAGGAGGTAGATGTATTTAATGCAACATTGAACAGAAGAACATTTAGTATAAAAAGGCATCCCCCCAGAAAAGAAAATTATACACATGACAAGATGCTTAAGGGGTGGACATTAACAACGAGCCGAGGAGAGCTCACAGGGATTGGAATAGGAATGGTAGGACTGAGGAAGGGAAGAATGCTTTACTGGCAGTTGCTAGGCTGTGTGGGGAGAAGAGAAAGGAAATTTGGAGCAAGTATTGGCAGGAGTTTGCAGAGAAAGTTGGGAGTAACAGAAACTTGAAGGAAATCTGGCAAGACGTAAATAAAATAAGGGGTAAAAAGCATAATTTTGTTGCACATTCTGACCCGCAAGGAATTGCAAATAGGCTCGTAAATAAATGGGCGGAAGCTGCCAAACTTAGTTCATTACCCGCTGTAACGAGAGAGTCATTAGATTCTTGGAAAGATCTAAGAAAGGATTTTATACTTACAGCAGGTAACAGTGGTGATGTCACTTGCACAGGTATTACCAGAGAAGAACTAATAACGGCGATTAAAGTTGGGAATCTACCGCCCCTGGGGAGGATGGAGTAACTTATGAAATACTTAATGAACTTGCCATTATGACGAAAAGCCCACTTTTAGATCTCTTTAATATTAGTTATAAAGAGGGCAGTATTCCCAGTAAATGGAAAAGAACTATGATCATCCCTAAAGCCGATGGAGAGTATAGACCTGTGTCCTTAACCTCGTGTTTTTGTAAAATGATGGAGAGGATCATTTTAAATAGACTTTTATATATAAAAGGTGATCAGCTGTCTAGTAATTTGCTCGGGCTCCTCAGAGGCAAAACCACCTCTGACTCTATTATTAAATGTCTAGCTAAAGATAATGATTACTATAGAATTTTTATTGATTTACAAGGAGCTTTTGATAAAGCCAACAAAGAGGTTATTTTATATGAATTAGCTGGTCTTGGCGTTAAAGGGAGATTATTGTGCTGGATAGGGGATTATCTTTACGAAAGGAAGGCTCAGGTGTGGTATCAAGGTTGTATGTCAGGTGTGAGGTCTTTTGAACTCGGCACACCTCAGGGAGGAGTGTTGAGTCCCACCCTGTTTAATGTACTAATGAATAAGATAGCATCTGAGAGATACTCAAATGGGGTAACTCCGATCATATATGCCGATGATATTTTGTTTCAGGGCAAAGATATTTCAAAGGTTCAAACAGTGTTGGACAATTTCGGAAACCTGTGTCACCATATGGGACTGGTGGTTAATGAAAACAAAACTAAGTTTGAATGTAGAAGTCGGAGCCCCATTGTTTTGAAAATAAACGGTAAAAATATAGAGTTAATATATATAAATATTTAGGCATATACGTTGGATATACCCATGAGAGTTTGGAAGCTGAGATGAACAGACTGTTGGGTCAATGTCGGAAGAGATTACAACCTCTGAAGGCCTTGGCATGCTGTGGAAAGGGAGTGGGAGTCCCTGTGCTACGAATGATATACTTGAGTACTGTAAGATCTCTTATTGATTATGCTGCACCTGTCATTTCTTGTTTTGGTAAAGGTAGGATGGGCAAGTTGGAGAAGGTACAAAATGAAGCCATGAGAATTATCTTAGGATACCCAAGAAATGCTGTGATTGAGATAATGAGGATGGAGTTGAATCTGCAGAGTATTGGGGATAGAATTGTAGCCTCTGCCATTAGATTAATGAGAGGTGGGGGAGTTAATGAATAAGAACATAAGAACAAAGGCAACTGCAGAAGGCCTATTGGCCCATACGAGGCAATTCCTATCTATAACCACCCAATCCCACTCATAAACATGTCCAACCCACGCTTGAAACAATCGAGGAACCCCACCTCCACCACGTTACGCGGTAATTGGTTCCACAAATCAACAACCCTGTTACCGAACCAGTATTTATCCAAGTCTTTCCTAAATCTAAACTTATCCAATTTATACCCATTGTTTCGTGTTCTGTCTTGTGTTGATACTTTTAATACCCTAATAATATCCCCTTTGTTATGTCCATTCATCCACTTAAGAACTTGACTCCACCCACACCAAGTCGGTGTGGGTGGAGTCCACCAAGGAATTAATCCTCTCGGTTCAAAAGGTGGGAAGTAATGAACAATGTATGATAAAGAGAGCATATATGAGTACCTTATGTTCTAAAGTTATAAAGTATGATGTTATTACAGAGTGTATTGCTGTGCCTAAGAGATAATTCACACCACCATGGGAGGATTGTAATGTAGATGTAGTAATTACTTCCTTGCAAAAGAAAAAAAGTATGTTTTATTTATTTATTTATTTATTTATATACAAGAAGGTACATTGGGTTAGTGAGAATACATAACATAGTACAGTATTTACACTCTTGTAAAGCCACTAGTACGCGCAGCGTTTCGGGCAGGTCCTTAATCTAACAGATAATTTTAAGTAGGTAAATTCTAGCAGAATTAATAAAATGATAACAAATACATTGCAAGAAAAAAAATGAGATGAGAGAGATTAGTAAGTATATTAAAGCACATTGTCATATTAAAGCTCTGATTGATTACATTGACAGCTTGATTGGTAATTTAAACAAGATTAATAGACACCATGAGGGGGGTAGAAATAGCCTAAGCTACTCTATCCCTATGAGATGTATTTATTGCTTATCTCAATAAACATACTTGAACTTGAATAGACACCATACAGCAAATTGATAGAACATATAAGAAGACAGCAATGATCAACAATGGTAAAGATGTTCAGATTGGGTACATAAAGATTGAGAAATTGGGTAGCAATAGATACAGTGCAATTTTAAAGCAAAAGGTAAAAAACTATGAAGATGAAATTAGGTACTTTTTAGTTTTGTTTTTGAATGACGCAAAAGTTGGACAGCTTTTCAATTCATTAGGGAGAGAGTTCCATAGACTGGGACCCTTTATTTGCATAGTGTTTACACAGATTAAGTTTGACTCTGGGGATATCAAAGAGATATTTATTTCTGGTGTGGTGATAATGGGTCCTATTACATCTGTCCAGAGAGAGTTTCAGAGCAGGATTTGCATTTAAGAACAGGGTTTTGTAAATGTAGTTGACACAAGAGAATTTGTGGAGTGAGATTATGTTTAGCATGTTTAGGGAGATAGATAGGAGAGCTGAGGGCAACATATGATTGTATAATTAGAAAATGACCTACAGAAAACACTCTACATGTATATTGTGATGGGTCAGTAGCTAGGGATGGGAAGGCAGGATGTGGAGTCTTGATCAGGGAGTACACTGACATCGGTACTGTAGATACTGTTATTGGACGCCGCTTAACTGATAATGTCTCTTCAACGCAGGCTGAACTCCAAGGAGTATTAGCAGGATTACAGGAAGTAGTCAAATGTGGTAAAAATGCTTGCTTCTTTATTGACAGCAGAGGAGCGTTAGAGTCTTTAAATAGCAGACGCCCAGTATATCAGAATATTGTGATAGAGTGTAGAGAGAATGTTAAGAGACTAGAAAAAACTGGGTATAAAGTAAGATTCATGTGGATCCCTTCACATGTGGGAATACTGTTGAATGAGGTAGTTGATGACATAGCGAAGAGAGCCACTGAAAAACTCTTGTTGATGTTGTATGTCAGTTAACCTTGAAACAAATAAAAACAAGACTCAAGATGATCCAGGAGGGTGAAGAAATGAT